CAAAAGCACAACTTCCCGGGGCGGGGGGGGGGGATTTAATGCCGTTGTTGCCTTCTTCTGCCTCTGCCCCAACTTCACCTTTTTGCTGTCGGTGACTATGAATATTCAGATAATCTGGTATGATGGGGGGCGGACGGACGGATTCTGCACGGTATGAGACTTGATAATGATAATGTTGGTGGTGGCACTGGGCGCTGAAGGCAGTCAGAAGGAGCAAACGAGCTTTCTTCCTCTTTGTGGGTCGTTTTCTGAGTGTCCGTAGCGCTGCGGTACATGCAGATGTCGCTGCTGTTCCTCATGAAGCCCTAATGATCTACAAAAGCATAATGACCCTATTGGGGCGCAAAGCATAGCTGAAATAAGAGTCTTGAGAAAGAGGAAGGCGGGGGGGGAGGCAGATCCACCGATGGAATGTCCCCAGAAATGACCTTACCTCAAATGGGAGGAAAGGGAGGGGAGAGGCGGCCGGTCTGAAGGCATGGGGATGGTCCCCGTGGTGGGCAGGAAGACCCGTCCCCTGGAGAGAGGGCGGTCGGGGGCCTGTTCTGCAGCCCTCTAGGCGACCCCAAGGGGAAAGAGGCAAAGGGCCTGTGGGCAGGAAGACGCAGAGCGCCGCATCAAGCCATTCGCCACAGTCGGTCACAAGATTTGGCAGGAAGGGCCTCGCCGGATCCCAGCTGGGTTAATTGCCCCAGCCTCTCACACTGCATTTGGCTCTGGAGGAAGAGACAGGTATTCCACACAGAAGAGGGGATGGTAAGGGCTCGACTCTATGCAGCAAATTTTCTTTAACATTAAAAAAATAGGACAAAAATTTCCTCCAGTGGACAGTCCACAAACACTTAAAAATGGCCTCAGAAAGACCGAAGCGATGGCAGCACTAGGGAGGAAAGCAACAGGCCCTCTTTCAAAGCGATCAAGATTATGAGATTTATTTCTACCACACCGTTTTGAAAGAGCCAGAAAGATTACAAGGGAATAATGAAGAAGGAAGTATAAATCCTGATCATCTAAAAATCAATCTATACAGCCAGCTCAGGAGGGCCCCCACGTGCCAGCATGAGGCAGTGGGAAGGGCCGGCCCCCGGTTCAAAGCCCCACTGAGCCAGGAAGCTGCTGTTGGGGCCGGGGGCGGGGCTGTTGTGAGTCGGAAAAAGTGGGGCACCCCTCTCCGACACTGCTCTAAGCTCCCTGGGGGAAGGAGCACAGGATGCCTGCTGCTTCTGACTCGGTTAAGCTACTAGTCGCCCTGGATTATCAATGCAAACTGGCCACTCTTCTCCAGATTCAAAGGAGGTTCAATGGAGCTGTCCTCCCTATCTCCTGCTCCTTGCAAGGGTTTGCCTGGGAACTGAACCCAGGACTTTCCTAGGAAAGCATCAGAGCCTGGGCCTCCCAAGCGAAAGAGAGAAAGGGGCTGGGTCGGGGAACATGCAGGAAGGACAACACGGGTTTGCCCTCTTTGAAGTGGGGACAGAGTTTTTCATCGCCCAAGGAGAGTGAGCTGTTTACTAATTTAGAGGATCCTTTCCATCTGAATTTCCATATACAAAAACCGTAAGGCAGATAAGAATAAAATAAACACAACATAGCAGGGAAAGAAATAATTAAAAAAAGAAAATGCTGGTGAGCAAGTTGCTTTTTGTTTTTTGCATGAGAGTATACACCCTGGTTTGCAGGATTGTGAAAATGCTTAAGAAACAACTGGTAGTGGGGTTTGAGAAGCGAACGTACGACAACCCAGCAACTGGTCAACAGCACAACTATTGAAAGACAGGGGAGTATGGTGACCACAAGGTGCCAGGGAAAGTGGCAGGAAAAAGAAAGGCAAGGATCAGCGAAAACGGGTACCCCAAGATCACATAGAATCATGTTTCCTGGTTCAGAAACCTTACTTTAAGATGTCTCCAAGGGCAGGCATGAGAGCTGCTCATGGGGAACAATGCATAAATCAAAGACTTCAGTTAAGCCGGGTTTGGGCAGAAAAGCGTCCACCCAACTCAACTGCCAAATTTTTAAAAAAAAAACAACAACGTGCCAATCAGAAGTGGCTGGAAACATGAGTGATATATTCTGCTGGAGGGCCTGACTTGCCATTCTTTTCCAAGAACAAGTCTCGTGTCCTTTGAAAGTCACCTACGCTCATGGTGATCACCACATCTCATGGAAGGAATCAAATTCACAAATGAACTACCGCATTTTTCGCACCATAAGACACACTTTTTTCCCACAAAACAGGGGGGCGGAAAGTCTGTGCATCTTATGGAGCGAAGAAAACAGATTATATTTTCCTGTTTTCTTCTCCTAAAAAATCTCGTGTCCTTTGAAAGTCACCTACGCTCATGGTGATCACCACATCTCATGGAAGGAATCAAATTCGCAAATGAACTAATTTTAATTTACTCCTGGTAATTCTCTTTTTTGGCTGTCCTGAACGTTTAGCTAATCAGGTTTCATTTCCAAGTTTCTCTATTATAAAGCAACGGCCCCGCTACTTCTTCTTTTATAGAGCGAAAAAGACGGTAATTTTAATTTACTGTGGTAATTCTCTTTTTTGGCTGTCCGGAACGTTTAATCAGGTTTCATTTCCAAGTTTCTCTGTTATAAAGCAACGGCCCCGCTACTTCTTCTGTCCCACACATTTCGAGAAACCTTATGGCAAATACCCTGTCAAGGGTTATCAAATCCTAGAACCAGGGAGCTTGAAGGGGCCTCTAAGGCCATCGAGTCCCACCCCCTGCTCAAGGCAGGAATCCAAATCAGAGCAGATCGGACAGAAAGTTGTCCAGTTTTCTCTTGGATGCTATTATCATGCACGGCAGTCCTTAACAGGATACTGCTGTGTATCTTGTCCTTTTCACATTGACTGGAAGATCCAAAAGCACACAAGGGACTCAAACAATGCATTTCCTAAGTTCCAGTTGTCTGCGTATGTGAGTTGGCCAATTACCCATGAGATGCTCTCTTACGTGCCCTAGACAAGACTAACTGAGGCCAACTAGGTATAAGTGTGGACAACTGAGTCTTTATGATACAAGAGATCAAGGTGCCTATCAAACCCACCCGTTGCACAATCTAGACAAACCCCATCACACCCTCTCAACCACATGTCAATTCAGCATGAATGAAGTTATTCTTCCAGGCAAGTTCTACTGATGTGAATGTATTCTTTATTTAAAATATATATATATTTTTACCCCCACATTTCTCCTGAAAAGGACCCAAGGTGGCTGGGGACAGACCCAACGGTTAGAAAGATCATGGAGATTTCTTCAAAAACAGCTAGGAGGAGACACATAGCTGTGAAAGGCTATGTGCATAAATTTTCCGTGTGGATCCCAAATATACAGGCATAAGCACTTCCATGTGCAGTCT